GTGGGACCAGGGCAGACACAGACACTGACTGGACACGGGGATATAGCGGACAGGGGAGACAGCAACTAAGGATTACACAGAGACAAACCATAAGACATGACTCCAACAAAAACCCAAAGACTAGAAATTATAAATAATATAATAAACTCAAAACCCCTGGGTCAACGACCCAGGCATCCTAACATACACAGTGTTTTCTTGTGTAAAACAAGGACACATCGCTGTTTATAATTTCAATATATGTTACTGGAATGAATCAGACATCATGCAGAATTCGTTAATATTTGTTTATGTATTTTTATTTCTTTGCACTAAGTAATCCCAAAATACAAGAATTTGTATACACACCATCCACTGATACACATACAACAGTAATGCTAATCTACTCGGTCTTCTCCATTTGGCCACAGGTTCTCATCCACATCACATCTTATGTCATCTAGGGCAATACACCTAGGAAAGAATCTTCTGGCATGCCTGATCCAGCCCTGGCAATCTTCTGCTGATATCTCCAGGCATCCAGCATTCATTGCATCCAGGAGGGACATTTGATCATGTGGATGATGGTTGTAAACCTTCCACCGCCATGAGGAAAAGAATTCCTCTATGGGGTTGAGGAATGGAGAGTAAGGTGGGAGGAAAAGAGACTCCATTCTGGGATGGGCTGCAAACCACTCGGTGACTGCACGGGAGTGATGAAATGCCACATTGTCCCATACAATTATAAATGTTGGCTGATTCCTTCTCTCCACATCCCTTTCCTCACCTAGCACAACCCTTCCATAGAGATCATGCAGGGATGCAAGGAGCCGTTCAGTGTTGTATGGCCCAATTAGTGGTCTGTGTAACAGCAGTCCATCAGTGGATATTGCTGCGCACATTGTGATGTTGGCACCCCTCTGGCCCGGGACATTCACTGTGGCTCTCTTCCCAATCACATTCCTCCCTCGTCGCCATGCTTTGGCCAAGTTGAAACCTGCCTCATCCACAAAGATGAAAATGTGGTGTGTTTGCCTGCCTTCAATCTCCATGACTCTCTAACATAAATCCACAAGGCAACATAAGCTGTTACAGTAGTAAATTTGTAAAAATTGTCTTTGTGTGTGTTTGGTTTTGTTCAAAAACAGATCAGTATTTTATTGTGATCTTACCTGGACATACTGGTTCCTGAGTTGCTTGACATGTTCAGAGTTCCTCTCAAAAGGCACAGTGTACAACTGTTTCATCTTGACCTGATGTTTTTTCAGGACTCTAGAAATTGTTGTTATGCTTACACTGTGAATATTTGCGAAAGTAACGTTGTCTGCCAAGATTCTGTGTCTAATTTCAGTGAGTTTTATCCCATTGTTTCTGATGACCATATCAACAATGGCAGTTTCCTGCACATCAGTGAAAATCCGTCCTCTCCCTCCTGTGTGAGGTAACCGTTGAGCCCTAAGCAGAAATGCAACAACAATTACACAAAAGCTTATTTACTTCTGAAATGTGCAAATGCCCTTGCAGAATACAAGTTACCTGTTGGTTTGCCGGAAAACTCTAACAATAGATGCCACTGTAGAGCGTTGCATATTTGGCTGCACTCTCTGACCAGCCTCTCTCATTGAGTGACCATGATTTACTACATGATCAATTACAGTAGCTCTGATCTCATCTGAGACTACAGCTCTTGATCTTCCTCTTATTCTTCTTCCACCACGCATACGTATTCCTCGCCCCCTCCCGGCCACTCTTCTTCCTCTTTCAGCCACTTCTCCATTTCTGGCTGGGTCCATGTTTACATCACAAAACAAACCTATTCAGCAGTTGTCTCCTGTTGTAATGAAATTGAAGGAGTAACACCTGTGTAGATGTTCATCTACAATGAGAATCAGCTGTGGCTGGTTAAACTGCATTTTTAGATTTAAAATATGTTTCAATAAAATATTGCTGTTGAATTTTGCTGTCTTATTCAGTTTTGCATTATGTTATTGTTTTGACCATAAGTTTAACAGTTTTGAAAACAGTATGTAAGTACATGCAAAATGTCCTGTATGTACAAAGATTTTTGGCAGTTGTTGTGTCTGAGTGAGAAAATAATTCATGAAATTTGAGAGATGTAGTCATTGAATGCATTTTGTGCCAAAACAATGATAACTTATCCTCAGTTTAGCCCACACAGACTTCTGTTGTGCTCACTGTGTGAGGAGTTTTGCAAAAGGGACCTAAGTATTGAGAAATGTGTCCTAGCGTCTGTAAAAACCTGTAATACAAATTCAGTGCAGCCATGACTGAACACAGTAGAGTCATAGATAACTATAAAACAATCACAATAACTTCACTATATCAGCACAAGAGGTCACTATACACCATACATTTTCTTCCAAAGCACATGCCTACAAGTTTTTTCTGCAACAGCAGAGGGAGATATTTCATTTCAATTCAACTAAACTAAAAGCCTAAACCTTTTTAGGATGTAAAGCAATTTACATAAAGTGTAGCACTGTTTGATTTGATGCATTTCATTAAAAAAAAACTGAAAACTGATCAAATATTTCAGATTAATCAATATCATCACCTAGCCACCTAATACCCACAACTGAAAATGTCTGCATTTGTTGTTACTTTAATTCTTAATATTGACTGAAATGATCTTTGATTGTTTTTACAGGTGAGAATGAATTAGCAGTTATGTTAATGAAAGATTAATAGTTTAGGAACAAGAACTGAACAATATCCTGCCTTCCACTGTTTTTTTCATTGCAACTGCAGATGCCTGTTGTGAAAAACAGCCGCACCCTTTACTGTAAACGAAAATGAAAGTATTTGACTGAGTAAAGAACAAACACACATAGCAGTTCAAATATTCAATGACAACTATGTAAGGAAGAAGCGCAAACGAGGTAGGTCATCTACCGATTACCTTTACTGATAATAATATTGCATTATGCTGCTTTTAAGATTCAAGTATGCAGTATTAAATAATAGGTTACATATCCTCAATGTGTTAATCTTTAATAGCATTAAACTAACTACTAACTGAAACGTAATGTCTCCCCTTTCATCCTGTCCTATATTCTAGTTGAGAAATAAACAGGAATATGTTAGCGAGGCAAAATTTATATAAATCGGTCATGTTTAACTGTTACAGTGTTTCTATATACAAAATATCGGATGACCTAAATTCATTTGTTATATATATATATATATATATATACACAATTGTAAATAAACAAGAGCAATAGCTAATGAATTTGTTGGAAGAGCAAACACAGTAAACCAAAAAATGGAATTTAAAATTTTGAAATCAGCTACACTATTACAGGAAGTGAAAGCGAAAGTAACTCTGTGTAACCACTAAGTTTTATAATATCAGTCCTCGATATCGGCAGCTGCTTTTGGCAAACCCTTAGAGTCATCTCAGATTATTCGTTTCTGCGTTTTAAAAGCTTTTTAGGTGTAATTCATCACACACACACACACACACACACACACACACACATATACATGTCTTAAATACTACAAAAAATGCCATATTAATTGTGAAGCACCAAAGTCTTGTTACTGTGGATTGCTCACGGAAAATGAGTTTAAAAAGATAAACATATTAAAACAAAAAAGATTGTGTTTTAGAATAATCAATACTGCCACCTATTGGCCAAAACGGAACATGTCTGTCTTAGTTCTTTATCTAGAAATACAGAATCTATAATGAAAAAGTATTATTATTGATAAGGACAGACCATAAAAATCAATTTAGTAGTAGCAGTAAGCCATTTCAATTATCTCCTTTTCCACCTTTCAAATGTGACGATGTGGCTCTGCACCTTTAACACACACACACACACACACACACACACACACACATACTCACTTGTAAGACCTTTAAAAACTATAAAATCGGAATTCAAGCTCTGAAAGTAAAATCTTGTCACTGTGGATTGTTAATGGATAATATAATTAAAACAGCTAGAGTGTTTTAAAATCCATGATTACCGCCACCTAGTTAACTTAGGATGATATGAATTTTTGCATTCATGTTTGACATAGCTGAATTCTACTTCTAATATTTTATAAGGGCATTAAAATGCCCTCTCATTTATGATGTTGTATTTTGAAACAGGCACATCATGGCTTGCCCTCAATGTGGAAATAAACTCGAAGGGTCATTTAACTTCTGTCCTGAATGTGGCTTCAAATTATCTGCCCTGACTGAAAAAAGTGCTCAAGGTAGGTGTCATATCATAACAGTAAAAATTATATGAATGCTAGTCCAAGGAGTTCATTTGTGGTATCACAGGTGAATATTTAACAGGTGAGAAAACTTACTGGACATAAAGCATAAGTGTATCTTTTCCACCATCAATAAAGACTTTATGAATATTTTCCCTACACAGTATTCTAGTTTGGGTTGCTATAAAAATGTAAATGATTGTCTTGTCTTATCTATATATATTTGCATAGTAAAAAAAAACAACAACAACTTTTGCCAAATTCACGGTTGTTTGATATATGTAACTAACCAAGCAATAATGGTTAAACAGATGGTGCCACATCAGCACATCCAATTACAACCACTGCTGAGGAGAAAAATCAAAAGGAAGATCAAGACCATGCTGTTAAAGAAAGCACTACTCAAATACAGGTGACAAGGCTAAGAAATACATGTTATATTTGTGAAGTTACATATGTAATAGGCCATTTATCCAGCAATTTTGATTGAGAAATAAAAATAAAAATCCTCTTTTTGAAAGTGAAACATTGTTTCATACCAAGGTGATCAACTGCAATAAACAAGATCTTAAAAACAGAGTAACCAGTTTCTGCAGACCTTTTGAGTTCAGCTTATGCAAATATTTCTTGTTCAGACAGTGTGCTAACTTACACGCTTCACTAGGTATGAGACTGCAAAGATGAACCTTATGTTTGACCTAAAAAGTTTGACCTAAAAAACCTTTTATGTGTATTAGATTATTTGTATTAAATATGAAAGATGTTTAATTTCTGCCCCCAGAGAAAACTAAGAAATACTTATCAATTTGAAAATGTTTTTTGATGAACTAACAATGTAACTTTTTTCAGGAACAGTTCGCCACTGGTGAATTAGAACCAATCAGAGAGGATGCTACATCATCAGTTATTATTACAGGCCCAGCCACAGCGGAAAGTGGAATCACATCCTCATCTCTCCATATGACACATTTGGAAAGTGAATTAGCTGCTGCCCCTCAAGTTATAGATACTTGTACCGAGAAAAAGATGCTAATTGCTGTGGCTGCTGAAAGTAATTCTGAATCATGCAATAAGCCTACAACACCTGAAACCAACTTGTCTGTTTCCACAATACTGCCATCCCCTGGAACTGCAGGTGGCAAAATACCAGCACATGAAGCAGAGAATGCATTGAGTAACAAAGATGACAGACCAGATGAACATCAAACTGCTGCTGACAAGCTAAGTGGCATTCATTCTGGACTCGTGTCAGAAACAGGCTCTACTGCTCCTGAATCAACTAAGAACAACACCCCAGAACAAGTTACAGACAAGAAAAAATCTAATGAAATACAAAATCCATCAGGGAACTCAGATGTTAATAAGAACCACACAAACACAGAACAAAATAAATGTACAAAAAAGACTAGCAGGAAAGAAGACAAAGTAGTCAAAGACAAGAAATGTTATTCAGATGATCAAAATATCCAGAAAAGACAGAAATCTACAAGCCTCAGCCTACCAACAAAGGGAACTATCAAAGGGACCAAGGTACTGTAAAGTCAGAGTTTTAACCCTCAAACTAAATTTTGCACAGAAATGCAATATCATAATAAGTATATGTTATCATGTTTTTTTATTATACATAATATAACAATGAATATGTCATTTATCTACCAACGTTTATGAAACTTCCTTTTTCTGAATATGAAAAACTGTTTTGTTCTATTTTTACACCAAGTGTATCCATTTCAGTCAGGCCAGTTTGGGTTGCCATAAAGCTGTAAATACTTTTCCTTTATCATTTGTATGCTCAAAAAAGTGGTTAGAGATGTAAGCTACCATGACAATAATCAGCACATCAAATTTTAACCACAGCCGAGAAGAAAACCCAGTAAGACGATCAAGACCAGGCTTACAAAGATGTTAAAGAAAAACAAGAAAACATCGCCCAAGAAAACTAAGGTATTATCAATTCAAATAAATTGTTCTAACTCTTAAACTGAATTTGTACAAAATGCAAAATCACAACATCAGTAAAAATATTTTTTTCTTTTATTATAGTCATGTAATGATTTTTCCAGTATGAAATCAGTTTTAATTGTGTAATATTAATTAATGGTCCATTTTGATATACAAATAAAAGTGAGTGAGAGAGAGAAAAGAGGACAGTTAGAGAATCAGGAAGTGCAGAGTATCGGTAAGGATTAGTAATGAGAGCTATGATACCTGTAGAGGTATAGGAAATGTCTAAAAAACAGGACATTGGACTTTTTGAAAGACTGTTTAACACACTCTTGAAGAGTGGGGGATGCTTGAGGGCTGGACAAGAAGTGTACAAGGAGTTGAGAGATGAATGACAGATGGATTCATAGTGGAGGTGGGATTACATCAGGAATCAGGTGGAAGAGAGCTTGGAGAGGTTGAGCTCTGGAGGAAAGAGGAATTAAAGTCAGTGGAAGCAAGACGGAACACCTGTGCATCAATGAGAGGGAGACAGGTAACAGTAAAGCTGCAAAGAGTTAGAGGTACTGACGATATCATAAGGAATTCTAAACCTACCCAGGTTTTTATGTTTTGACCTTCTATTTTAAGGACAGTGACTTTACTTAAAGTAAAATGTGCTATATAAATTAAATTGCAGTTTGAGTGGCAAGGCTGAGATTGTGCAGAGGAGAGATAGTGAATATTTTGGACAAAGGATGTTGAAGATGGAGCAGCCAGACAGAAGAAAAAGATGAAGACCACTGAGAAAGTTAATGGATGTAGTGAAGGAGGACATGTAGACTGTTGGTGTGACTATGACTAACCATCTGATTCCTGTATGACTTTTAGAACGTGATTTTCTTTCACTGTATATGTATACATTATGGTATATAAAATAATGAAAAATATATTCTACTTGGTACTTTTTTACTCATCAACTTTCACTTTTTCAAAGGTTGCTGATATTAATTCAGACGAGGAGACAGATACAGAACTGACAGAGACAAGGGAACCAGGAAATGAAGACGTAGGTATCTACAGGCAAACAACTTCACCCTGCCTTTCTGGACCTCAAGTGGAAGAGAAGATCTTGATGACATCCAGTAAATTTCAGATACCAGAAGAGTAAGTGACAGGACTACAGTATGTATTTGACATTATTTGACATATTAAACTATGAAATTAATATTATTGCCATTTTTTCCTCCTTTTTTCCAGTTCATCAATCAATGAAGAAATACTGGTGTACTTTCATGCTGTCATTTCTAAAGAATTTCATTTGGAACCAGAGAAAGACATGGTTGTCTTAAAATCTGAAGTGTTGTTTGGAAGCTGGGATGGTTTTACTGAAATGTTCCCCAGGTATATAATAGTTTTTTATAACTAAAAAAACAACAGAGAGAGAGAGAGTGAATTTAGACTGCAATTATTTTGTGGAATTATTAGTTTGTCACTTCTCTGTATGTTCCATCTCTAACAAGAATGGTTTCTGTTTAATAGCCCTCTTGGGGACAACCAATATCGTATTGAAGGACAGTATCGGATTCCCAAGGAAAAAATTCAAGAGAGCATTCCCTACAAATATGCAGTTTACAAAAAGGAGAATGGCTTTATCTATGAGACCATCTACCAGAAAGGGAAAAATGACTTCATCAACAGATGTCTAACAATCACACCAGAGCTTTTAACAGCAGAAGGTATTCTCAATTAACTTTATTGACACTAACGTTTACATATCAGTTTACTATATTTGCTAATAAATGTGTTTTTAGCTGAGGTATAATTTTATCTCCAGTAAACATAAATTCTATATACAACGTGTCCACCGTTGAGTTAATAAAATGTTCTTTTGGGCTTTTTCTTGTTTGGTTTGCTTTTAAAGGAGAGTGGCATCAATATGATGATATGATCCATCCCAAATTGAAGAGTAATTGGCTTTGGAATTCTACAGAACAAACTGTGATAGACGGGAGAAACTTTGCTGGCGGGGAAATGTTAAAAATAATCTTTGATCTTCTCAAAACTTGGAATGATCAGAAAGTAGAAGAATTCTTTTCCCTACTGGAGCAGTTCTTTTATACATACAGTTCTCATCTGCTTCATGATGGTAGAGAAAGACGATGGGGATTACCATATGATTCAAATCAGGTAAACAGCAAAAATTTTATACTACAACAGGTAGCATCCAAAATTCAATAATGCAAAAGAGAAAAAAAAAGTATTGAAAAGTGTTTTCCATACTCCACTGTGTATTGGCATTAGTCCTAACATTCATCCTTTGCTTTTTCCAGGTGAAATACCTTCTTAAACATTTTCTGGAGAAACACTTCAGTTTTGATGCCATAAAGAAGACAGCAAAAATACCACCTCTCCATGCAGGGATTATTGGTTTGCTTGTTTACAACAAGTATCTGAAGGACAGCATGACAAATCAGCTTTCTAGTTTATGCAATCTTCTTTGCCTGCCTAAAATGCCAAAGCATTATTTTCTTTCTTTCTGGAAAGACTTTGTAAAAGCTTTGCCATATGAAAACAGGTAACTTAAATATAGTTTTATTTTACTTATAAAATTAAAGGCATAATTATAATAATGATTAATTTTTATATCATGTTTCAGTCTACCAAAAGATTCTAAAATTTATTTTTTCATAGACAATAGTTACAAAGTAGTATGGTATCATCAATCTTGATTCTCATTGTCCATATCTGATCAAATATTTGTGTATAAATGTTGTGAGTTTTCAGTGTAGTTTGGCATACTAGCATGTGAATTTGTCACTGACTTGTCTGACCACTGACATCTTTCATTTATATAAAAGATGGGTTGCAGATACAGTTGAGACCCTTTGCCATACCGCTATGAGATGCCGTATTGAGAAGTGGGTGTTGGTCATCCCTTTGGTTCATCTACTGAGAGGAGAAAGCAAACCATATGAGCCAGTCCCACCTGTCTTGAATCCACAGTTTGACTCCTGGACAGGCTTGAAGAGAATCACAAGAACAGATTTATATGATGCTAGTCATAAGTATGCACTTACCTTTCTAAATACACCAAAATTCAGTTTAATTCATCTGCCCCCAGTAATCAGCTCTAATTTTTAATCAGGAATTTGATCCAGATCATGGAAGAACATGACTACCTGATAGACATTGATCATCTTCTTGTGCACTCTTGGATGTCTCTGATGGGAGTTGATTACCTAATGAACGACAAGTTGATCATGCGTGTTGAACTTAGAGACATTCTTCAATATTTGCAGTTCATTGTCAGATCTGGCAACCGTAAACACATGTGCATGGTATGTATTCTTAAAGCAGTGGTATTTTAGGACAGATTGTCAAATATTAAAATGAAAAGTATTTATTTATATGATAATGTTAAATAGATTGAGAGATTGATTGAGATTAATGTTAATTTTATTTTGGTCCAGTTAATTATCGTTAATCACCTGCTGCACAAATTGACTTTATTTGGTTGTTGTTTTCAGTAACAATCAAGAAAAATTTGAACTCATGGGTATGCTTAATGTGAATGGACTGATACTTATATCGCACTTTTCTACTCTCCTGGAGCACTCAAAGTGCTTTACACAACATGCAGATCCACACAAGTACTTTCTTCTATGCTTATAAGTGCTTTCTAACTAACATTCACTCTCTAATTGATGCATCAGCGAACAACTTGGGGTTAGTATCTTGCCCAAGGGTACTTTGCATGCATACAGGGATTGAATCACGAACCTTCTGATCAGTAGATGACCTGCACTACCTCCCAAGCTACAGACACCCCAAATGTAGGATTAAAACAATAAATCAGTGCTGACTTTTGACTTCACACTGATTATAGATGATTATTATATTACTTCTCAGGTGAAAGTTGTTTTTTTCTTTATGATAATTATCATGATTTGATAATTGTCAATTATCAATTTTGGAATAAACATTTAACTTTTTTTTTACTCTTTATATTATTCAATTGATCTGCTATGTAAAGACCTGTGATTGACGAAAGTCCCAGTCACAGGTTATATTACCTAAAGCCTGAAAATGTCAAGGTGTGGCAGGCAGAATGTAGGACCCAAAAGCAAAACACTCAACGAAGGGATAAACTTAAAGAGGCTGCTTTATTGCAGTGGCAACTTGCACAAAAACACTTACAAAACTAAACCAAAGCCTAGAAACTGGAACTAATAACAAAACACTGGGAAACTATGGACGGCGACCTCAGGGAGCACAAGAGAAGAGACACACAGAGAATGAGGGGACGACACGACACTTACAAAGAGAAACACAGGGCTAAAATACACTGAGGGATAACGAGGGCATGGGACACAGCTGGGAGGAAGACTTGACTTGACTTGACACTTGACGAGACCAAGGGGGCAAGGGACCGTCAATGTAAAAAGGCATGAAAACAGTGGGAGCACAGAGAACACTTACACAGGAAAAAATAACAAAAACCCAGAAAACTCTAAAAATTATAAACGCAAAACATAAACATGACTCTAGACAGTGACAGAAAACAATACGAGGAGCAAGTGTTTAGGTCTTTCCTAGACTACGCTGAAAGGTTATTTTAGATTTTATGTTCATGTATTCCAAGTACAATAAATACATGTTGTTGCCTACCCCCATCTTTAACGATTTTGTGTTTTTCTATTAAATGTGTTCTGTTATTTTGCTGACAGGTTGTGAGACATTTGACATCTTATCTGATCGAGAAAGAGAGCAATCACAAGAAAAGGTAAAATGAAAAGGAAAACAAAGGTGCCTGAGAATATGATCCAAGATCCCTGAAGAAGAATTTCAGTGTATTATTGCTAGCAGTCTCATGCATATACAACAATAATATTAATATTTTCTTCCCATAGTTTTGATGACAGAGATGGAGAGTGCTGCCTGAAAACTGCAGTAATGCTTCTTGGTTCTGTCTGCTGTATCACAAAAGACACAGAGTTTGGGGATCTTCCTCTTCAGTTCCTTGATCTAGTCTGTGTGATTGCCAAGGCATATGGCCTCACTGATTCCCAGGTGTGACTTACTT